GGCTTGCCTACCATCCTTACTTTTACCACACCCTGCTCTCCTATCTAGAGGGAATTTTGAAGTTCCTCTCCCTGATTCCTTGGTTGTGGTTTTCTTCATCCTTTGAGGATGTCTATATTTATCCAAGTTTATTTGATCCTTCTTCTCTATATTGGTCAGTCCTGGTAGGTTACTTCTGGACTCCCATAGGTAACAATTATTCTTGGATCTAGAACCCCTCATTTCCTCCTTACCCTCTTCATTGATAACCACACACTTGTCTTTGGAAAAGTGAACTTTTAAGCCTTGATCACATAGCTGACTCATGCTTATTAGGTTGATAGTTAGTCCTTTAACCAACAAAACATCTTTTAATTTTAGGCCTTTAGGGCTGTCAAGTTGTCCAACTCCTTGGATTTCTCCTCTAGCTCCTTCACCAAATGTTACATGACTTGAAGAGTAAGGTTTGATGTCCACCAATAGGTTCACCATTCTTGTCATGTGCCTAGAGCAGCCACTATCAAAATACCAGTCTTCATTGTTTGGCATCCTTAGAGAAGTGACAGCTGCTAGTGCTACAGTCTTGGTAACCCATTGTCTTTTCTTGTAGGGAACCTCATTCTTGGGTTTAGCCTGATACTGCCTATTGTCAGGCTTGGTATGATGCTGCATTTTTTCATGTGTAATATGATGCTGCCTTTTTCCATGCGTACCCTGTTTGATTCTCCTTTGGCTAGGAAGTCCATGCAACCAGAAGCACACAACTTGAATATGCCCAAGTTTTCCACAGTGGTAGCATCTATGCCCTTGGAATTGTTTCTTGACTTGATTCCAATTTCTGTGTGGAGGATGTTGTGACTTTGGTTGTGACATCCTTTTTAACTTTTGAATCTCAGACTGCAACCTCTTGAGTTTTAAGACAGGGTTTTATTTCTCAACAAATCCTAGACCAGACCTATTTCCTGCAGTCTGACCACTCTGAATGATTTCTTCTAGGGTGTCAGTCTCAGAGTTTAACATCCTTATGTATTTGGCCATTTGATCCTTTTGACCTTTCAACTTATTTACCTCTCCTCTGAGTGTGTCTATTATGGCTAGATGCTCTCTCTTTTCAGCTTCTAACTCCTTGATGCTTTTCTTCTGAAGCTCTCCTTGCTGATACAGTTATGTACTTCTGATGTGAAGCTTTTGATATGAGGCTGCAAGCTCCTCATAGGTCAACTCTTCTTCACTTGAGTCACCATCAGATATACACACACTGTTAAGAACAGTGACATGTTTGGAAGATTCTCCTTATGATCCACTTTTTCAATCTTCATCAGACCAAGTGACAATTAGGCCTTTTCCCTTCTTCTTGAGGTATGTTGGACATTCCTTTCTAATGTGTCCATATCCCCCACACTCATGGCATTATGCTCCTCTACTTTGGCTGCCTTTATCTTCAGATTTCTCTTTGTCAGCAGTCATGCTTTTGGAATAAGTTTTAGACTTAGCATCTATCCTTTTGACCAGTTTGTTGAACTGTCTTCCAAGCAAGGCAATTGCTTCTGACAAATTCTCCTCTTTTTCATCATCTGAATCCTCAGTAGTATTTGAGACAAGAGCTATACTTTTGCTCTTTTTCCCCACAGCCTGATCACACATTCCCATCTCAAAGGTTTGGAGAGAACCAATGAGTTCATCCACCTTCATGTGGCATATGTCTTGAGCTTCTTTAATGGCTCTCACTTTCATATCAAACCTTTTAGGTAGTGACCTTAGAATCTTCCTTACAAGTTTTTCATCAGTCATCTTTTCTCCCAAAGCTCCTGAGGTGTTTGCTAGCTCAAGAACATTCATGTAAAACTCATGAATGGTCTCATCTTCCTTCATTCTTAGACTTTTAAATTTTGTGGTCATCATTTGAAGTCTAGACATTTTGACCTTGGAAGTTCCCTCATGAGTGGTTTTGAGAGTGTCCCAAACATCCTTTACTAGTTCACAGTGGTGGACTAGTCTGAAGATGTTTTTGTCTATACCATTGAAGAGTGCATTCAATGCTTTAGAGTTTCCAAGAGCCAATGCCTCTTACTCTTTGGTCCATTCCTCTTCAGGAATTTGCATAGATGCTCCATCCTTGTCCGTCTTCACAGGATGTTCCCAGCCAGAGTTTGCAGCTCTCCAAGCTTTGTTGTCTAAGGATCTTAGGAATGCAATCATCCTAGGCTTCCAATACTCATAATTAGAACCATTCAGAATTGGAGGTCTATTGGTGAATCCTATATTTTTATCCATAGTACCAGAATTTTATTTCCCTAGATCTCACCCAGATTAAACAGGCAGGGTGCCTGCTCTGATGCCAATTGAAAATTCTGGCAGGCACACGATGGATGTTATTACCAAAGTTATAACATCCAGTGTGACATTGACTACTGCACTAACTATTTATACTGTAAATGAAAGCAGTAAATAACACAACAATTGTTCACCCAGTTCAGTGTCAACAACACTTACATCTGGGGGCTAACAAGCCAGGGAGGAATTTCACTATTAGCATAATCAATTCAAAGTCAAACCACCAGTTTGCACTTCTCACTTAATCTCTACCCAATGACACTTCAAACTAGAGACACTCTAGACCTGAGTATACCCACTCACTCCCCCTCAATCACACAACAGTGATATTAAACAATTACATAATTTAATATAAAGAGACACTTCATACAAACCTTGATCTTGCTTCACAACTTTTATCAAGGAACTCACACACTCTTACTTCACAGCTTTGAGTGAGACACAGCCTAGAATCTACCTAACCAAAACAATCATCAACCAGACAATTACTTGGATTACAAGTATTCCTAAACAGACTTTACACGTGAAGACTAGCATTCTTCACTTACAAGGACTCTCTAATTTTCACTCTTTATTCTTCTGTCAAGAGCTACTCTTTTAGGATTGCTCCTTCTGTTTTTATAGCAGCTTTAGTCCTTTGGGTCTTGGTGCGTAAATTAGGTTTTATCCATAGTAAAACCTCTCTTCAGTATTCTGCACGCTTGCCACTTTAATCAGGTACATATTAGTTCCCCTAGGACTTCTAAAATGTCTCCTGCATTCCAGCTTGAGCTTCTGGTTTGTTTCCTGAGTTCTAGCTACCAGAATAACAAACATGTGCTTGATGTCATACGACCTATGTCATAACATTGAGTATGACATCCAACTTAACTTATAGTTAGCTGATTTGACCTACCCTACACAGTCCACATTATGAATGTACCAATATCATACATGACATTCATACATACACTAATGTTATGCCACAAAATGCAGTCAATCAAGAGCAATTACACTAAGTATTAATTGTAGGGCTGACAATGAACCGAACCAACTTAAAGACAGTTTGGAACTTGGTTGAATAATTAGTTCGTTGAACTTGGTTCATGAACCTAATGAGCTGAATATGAGTGAAAAACTACGTTAACTAAATGAGTTGAACTTGAACTATACATAGTTCGACTCGTTAGGTTCATGAGTCAACTCGATTATATACGAGAAGGATTATATTATCTTTAAGAGTATGTTTAAAGATTTAATATAAATTTTAACCTTATATTTTATTTTAATCTAACGGTTTTAATGTACAATTTATATTCTCAAGTGAGCAAAATATTTCTAGATATAATTACTCAAATAAAATTAGTATCATATTAATTAATTAATTTTTGAATTAGTGGGTTTTGGAGACAGATAAATTCTAATCTAATAATTTTTTTTATTTTAATATATATTTTTTTAAAATAGTATTAATTTAAAATCTCAAATATGTAAAAAAAAAATAGACTTTAAAAAATGGTTTTTTAGTCCGTGAAGTAAGCAGGTTGAACTTAACGAGATGAATCTAACGAGTCAAACCGAGTTGTTTGTGAACTTATAACGAGTCGAGTTTGAGCTTAAAAAGGAGCTCGTGTCAAACTCGAACCGAGATTTGAGTCGAACCAATTCTTAACGATTCGAGTTGAACTGAGGCGAGTTCGACCCGACTCGACTCATTTCCAGCTCTAATTAATTGACTTGATTTGTTTAGTGTTATTTTGATTATTTGTTGTACCAAGAACTTTGTATATTAATTTGCAAAATAGTAGAAGATATAACAAATTTTTAGTATTCTCCATTGAAAATATGATGTATAGATATGACGTTCAATCTCTTTGTGTCTATACTTTTACATTTCAGTATATATATATATATTCTTGTGTTAGATTTAAATTCAATTTGTTATGAAAATTGAATTACGTTGATTGTTGAACTATTTCTTTAATTAACTTGATATTTTTCATCTTTTTCAGTAGTTGTAATTTGTAATGATCCTAATTAACTATGATATTGATCCAATCTTGAACTAATCTCTACATGCAATTCAGATAGATTATAGATGTAAGATGGATGTATATTCAGAGACGCTCCAACTTGAAGAGAGTGTGTTGATTATTCTCTAACTGTAAAAGTTAAAATTAAACTCTAATTTACAACCAAAAACAAAAAAAAAAGAGGGTCAGAAGGGCACGTGGTGGCTCACTCCCACTAGTTATAGTTAATCATCATGAATGTAGCAATAATAACAATAAATAAAGAAAACATTGGTGACTTTCAAGTAATACCGTTGAGTTGATGAGACCCAAAAACAAAACATTTTCTCCTATCCTTCCTTCCCAGCTGTTCATAGCTGTCCAATTCCTTTCTCCATGTGACCCTACTACATGCAGATGCAGATACCCCCACACATTTATTTTATTTATTTATTGTGATTTCAATCCCTAAAACAATAATAAACTATTCATTTCAGTTCATATTCTTCTTCTTCTTGTGCCTTTCTAACATTCCCTCTGGCTCCTTCACATTCATACACACATGTTTCTTCATTTCTTTTTGTCTACTTGACACACACATTTCATATATATAAATATCATCACACATTCATTTCTTGAGTTATTCCATTGTAGCTAGCTATAGTTATAGCTAGTTTCTGTTTGGTTACCTCTCAAATGGCTCAATTGCCACCCAAAGTTCCAATTCCAAACATGACACAACCTTGGCCTGAATTTTCTTCTCATCAAAAAATGCCTAACCTTAAAACTATTCCACCAAACTTTTCCAACAATCAACACAACCCTTCATGGGTGGACGAGTTTCTCGACTTCTCGTCCACCAGACGAGGGGCTCACAGACGGTCCGCGAGTGATTCTGTGACTTTCATTGAGGCGTCAGTGATGGAGCATTGTCGCCGTAGAGAGAGGGACAGTGAGTTTGAAAGGTTTGACGATGAACAATTGATGTCTATGTTTGGTGTGGATGAGGTTTCCGGGAAAAACATGATGCAGCCGCCAGCAACAGGAGTAGCAGCTACATTGTCCTCTAACTCAAACCCTTCAACTCCTTCTGATAATAACAGCATCAACGAAGAGGAGGAGGAGGATGAAAAGCATCATCAACAGAAACAATTGAAGCATGAATCTGATGAGGATGAATTTGATGAATGCAAACAGGAAATCGCACGAGATGACGATGATGATACTAATGGAAACACAACATCTTATTCAAGTCAGAAAATTACTGACCCCAAGAGGGTCAAAAGGTAGTTCTCAAACATTATTCATATCACACATTTCTTGAGCCAAATGTGTTCTAATTATTGCTTTGCATATTTATCAGAATCTTGGCAAATAGACAATCTGCCCAAAGATCAAGAGTGAGGAAACTGCAATACATATCAGAGCTAGAGCGAAGTGTGACTTCATTACAGGTATATATATATACATGACGGTAACAAAGTTATTCTTTTAATGATATGATTTGTTAATTTGTTTGAAGTTTGAACTAATTATGAATATGTCGATGAATGAAGGCAGAAGTATCAGTACTGTCACCACGAGTCGCATTTCTGGATCATCAGAGGTTGCTTCTAAATGTTGACAACAGTGCTCTCAAGCAAAGAATCGCAGCTCTTGCCCAAGACAAAATCTTCAAAGATGGTACTTATTCTCTCTTCCTAAACTATTCTCATGTATGTGTGGCTAATAATTTGTGGTTTTTGCTATCAGTATAGTATGTCATGTTCACAATAACATTTAGATAGAATTATAGAAAGAAAGTACAATTTAGTTTAGACATGTACTTTTCAATGTACTGCTAAGCCCAAATTGTTCAAGTATTCTCTCTAGGAGACAATTATTAAGTAATTAATTAATGAAAAACTATATTATAGACTAGAAAATGAAACAAAGGATAGCAATGGAATTAGCTTCATTTTGGTGGAACTATGCATAGTACGGCACATGATTTCAATATGCTAGTACTAGTTTAGAAGAGTTGAAAGAGAGCAATTATTAGAGAGTAGGACAGATTCATATTGATTTTAGTAAAAGCATTTGCATGCAGTTGCACACATATTAAAATGCTGTCTGTCTGAGATCACCATGTGATGTGTCTGCAACAACTAGTACTTAAAAAAAATAGTTATATACAATTAATAATGCAGCTCATCAAGAGGCATTGAAGAGGGAGATAGAGAGGCTGAGACAAGTTTATCATCAACAAAACATCAAGAATAATGCTTCAACAGTAGTGTCACCATCTCCATCACCTAAACCACCTTGTGATAATGATACTCACATTGAAAATGAACATCTTATCAATGTTTGAGACCTAGCTAGCTGCTGTGGTTTCTTTTTTTATTCAAGAAACAGCATAGTTTTGCTAGAAGGAGTAATGAAGGGAAAAGCAAAAAGATATGAGATGGTGAGAAATTTTATTAGGCAGAAACAGAATATTAGTGGTAAGCTTTTGCTATCAAAACTGTGGCAGTCACGTGATGTGTTTTACTTTATAGAATGGGACCACTCAAAATTGTATGATTGGAATTCAGTGAGACACATGTGCAACACTCAGTGATATCAATATCAGAGAGATGAAAGAAACAGTACTTGATGGTGTTGGTGTCTGCTTTAACTACATGGGGTTTATGTAATGTAATGTTGGAGATTCTTTTATTTCTATTTTGGTTACTATTATTTCTTGTCTTTGCTTGTAATTCAATTTTTTTAATGGTGTTTTTCAATTCAAGTTGGAAAATAGAAACTAGTGGAGTTTGTTTTCTTGTACTGTTTTTGTTATTATTGTTGCTTTATTTGACATAATAATTGGACAAGTTAATCCAAGTGTAAATATTTTCATCAATTCTTCTTGTGTATATCAGGTGAAAGTGTTAAATGTTGCACCATTTTATGGTGTTATGGATTGATCATGTTTTCCTATATGAATTAATAGTGACAGATACAACAAACTAGAATGGGACAAGGAATCAGTGATGTTAGGATCTTATAGACATTTCTTTATACAAATTTCTGAAAGTAGTTGTAGATTGAATAGTTGGACTTGGTGACATGATTCTAAAATATGGTCCCTATGCATGTGGGGGAGGTGTATTATCCTATCCAATCTAGATGCATCAGAGAAAGACCGAGTGGTCAATTTATCTCACAAATTTCTACATCTTTTGGTGATAATGAGTGAAATAAACTTTTGGTAGTTAATTCTCACACCAACTTGTATGTGTGCGGCAAAACTCAGGGCACAAGATTTTTACATGCATCAAAGAAAATACAGACGTCTAAGTAGCAATGCATACACAGGACATTCTTCCCACATGATCCTTACCTCATAACCAGGTTATATCTTCCCGGTAGTAAAACCGAATACAATGTGGATGAGTCACCATTGCTAAGTTATCAATCTTAGTGCAATGTGGATGACTCACCATTGCTAAGTCATAAATCTGGTGGCGCCATGGTAGTCAAAATCGCGATCCTACTCGTAGGATCGTAGGATTTTACAATCTTGCAACTCCCCACCGTGCCAAAAAATGATCATACTCGGTTTTTGGTAGGCACGGTCAAAATCGTCGTCGTGATATCATGTCAAAATGGTAGAATCGCCGTTTCTATTGAAAAATACAGTTTTTGTTTAAAGTTCTATGAATTCGGGTTCGCGGGTCGGATTTGCGACCCAGTTCAAAAAAATACTAAAAACGTTTCTTTTTTTTATTAAAATCTGAAACGATTCTTCTCCCATAGACCGTAAAATAGTATATACCTAATTACTAGGATAATAACCAGGAGTAATCAATACTCAGCCACTCAACAATTAAGGATATATTCAACTTCCCAAAATACATCATGATTAGTGTAACTTCCCAAAATACATTTATTTCTCTATTAAAAACAACTTCAACTTTTCTCCAAGCTGTTGGAACTTTAGTGGTTGGTGCTCTCATTGCTCCCCCTACAATTGCACCACCACAACGCCAGAAAAAAAAAACTACCCAAAAATGTTTATGGTAACCGAACTGATATAACATAGAAACATAGCATTGATGATCCTGATAATCCAAGAAAAACTCAATGCAAGTATTGTAAAAAAAAAAAAAAAAACAACTGAAGGTGTCTACAGACTAAAGTGTCACTTGGGTAGAACTCAAAAATATGTTGAATCATGTAAGGCAGTCCTAGATGAAGTCATAAGAGAAATACTGCAAGTTTGTTCAAGATTGCATGAAAATTTATCAAAAAAACGGAGGCAATGGTGGAGGAAGAGAATTCAAAGGTGGACAAAAAAAGAATGACCAATAACAACTCTGAAAACATATTTAAGAAAAGGTGTTTCAACTCAGAACCTAGCATCAATGTAGTTCTAAAGAAGGGTTTAAGAGATGATGCATGTCAAACAATTGCATGGTGTTTTTACAATAATGTCATACCATTCAATGTAGCAAGGAGTGAAGAGTTCACTATCATGTGTGATATGATTTCAAGACATGGTAGTGGATTCAAACCACCATCTTATCATGACTTGAGAATTAAGTTGTTAAACCAAGAAATGAAGTTGACACATGAAGCTTTCAAAGAACATAGAAAGGAATGGAGGTGTTGAAATAAATGAGACTAAGAGACATTTAGATTAAACTTTGTGTTTTGAAAAGCATTACGGAGATATTATTATATATAGATAGATTATAACTATTTACATGATATAGTCGATGTGAGACTATTCTATATATAAATATTTTTAACACTATATATATATATATATATATATATATATATATATATATATATATATATATATATATATATATATATATATATATATATATATATATATATATATATATATATATATATATATATATATATATATATATATATATATATATATATATATATATATATATATATATATATATTCCAATTGATCATTAGAGTTGACAAAGTTTGTGACGATGTCACCTGACTCGATTTTCTCTCTGACAAAGTGACAGTCTATCTCAATATCTTTGGTCCTCTCATGGAAGACTGGATTTGAAGAAATGTGCAATGCAACTTGATTATCACAAATAAGTGTCATTGGTCTTACTTGTTCAAGTTGAAGTTCCTTAAGCAACTATTTTAACCAAATAAGTTCACATGTTGACATTGTCATGGCCCTGTACTCTGTCTCGACGCTTGATCTTGCAACTACATTTTATTCCTTACTTTTCTACGATATAAGATTTCCTCGAACAAGTACGCAATACCCAGAGGTGGATCGTCTGTCAATGGGTGACCCTGTCCAATCAGCATCGGAGTATCAAACTATCTGGGTATTTCCTTTATCCTCATACACAAGACCTTTTTCTGGAACACATTTGATGTATCTCAGAATCCTTATAACATCATCCATGTGTTCTTGACACTAACCACACTAACTGAAAAGAAATGTTCAGACGAGTGACTGTGAGATAATTCAACTTTCCAAGCAATCTCATATACCTTTCTGAGTCAGATAAAGACTCCACCTGGTTGGATAGTAGTTTGACACTTGGATCCATAGGAGTATTGACTGGTTTAGCATTTAACAAACTTGTTTCTTCCAAAATATCCATAGCATATTTTCGCTAAGAAATCACCAAACCATTTTTAGATTGGGTTACTTCAATACCTAAGAAATAATTTACCAAGATCTTTTGTCTGAAATTATTTCGAGAGTTGTTATTTCAACTAGAGTATTCTCTGTTGATCACTACCAATTATGACAATGTCATCTACATACACAATATGATAAATACATCCTTGGGATGAGTGACGATAAAAAATATAATGGTCAACTTCACTACGAACCATACCAAACTGTTGTACTACAATGTTGAATCTACCAAACCAAGCTCTCAGATTTTGCTTAGGACCATAAAGAGATTTGTGTAGCCTACAAACCACAGTTGATGACTCCCTCTGAGCGCCAAACCTAGGTAGTTTCTCCATATATAGCTCCTGTTCAAGATCACCATGTAAGAATGCATTTTTTTTATGTCAAGTTGATGAAGAGACCAATGTCGAATGGCTGCAATGGCTAAAAGAAGTCTAACAGATGTCATCTTGGCTACAGGAGAAAATGTATCACTATAATCCAACCCAAAAATATGAGTGTATCTTTTAGCTACCAAGCGAGCTTTAAATCAATCAATCTTACCATCTAGACCAATCTTCACTATATAAATCCAACGACAACCTACTAAAGACTTCCCATGGGGTAGAGGAACCAGTTCCCAGGTACAAGTGCTTTGAAGAGCACATGTTTCATCAATCAGTACTTGCCTCGACTCAGGGTGAGATAATGCTTCACCTAGAGTTTTAGGAATAGAAATATAAGACAAATAAGACAAACAAGTATACTGCAAAGGGGAGAGACTATGATAACATAAATCAATATAATGTGGAGAAAGATTTCGTGTTTGACGTATACCTTTTCGAAGGGCAATCAGATGATCAGACTCAGGTTGTAGAATCAGATCCGGTGACGGCGAAAGCGTCGGAGAAGAGTCTGTATTGACCTCAAGAACAAGTACGACTTCCGGGACAGGTACGACAGACATTGGGTGATAACGTTGATATGTTTAAAGTGGGCGAATAGTGGAGGGTTCAACTGTAGGGGTATCTAGTGAGTCAGGTTCCCTAGAATGATGGGGGATAATGATAGATGGGACTTCCGGAAGAGGTGTGGGAATACTTTCCTGTAGAGATTCTGTAGTTACTTAAGCAAACTCGAAGAAGGTAACATCGGCAGATACGAGGCACCGTTGTAAAATATGTGAGTAGCAACGATAACCCTTTTGGAATAGATGATAGACAAGAAACACACACTTTAGTGATCGAGCTGATAGCTTATCAAGACTAGGGGAGAGATTGTGTACAAAACACGTAGACCCGAAGACTCAAGGAGTGATTGGATGAAGTGGAGAGTTTGGAAACATGATTGAATGAGGAATTTTATTATTAAGGACAGTTGAGGGCATGTGATTTATGAGGTAACATGTCGTGAGCACCGCGTCTCTCCAAAACCGGAAAGGAACATTACCATGGAGAAGTAGGGTCTGAGTGGTTTCTATGAGTTATTGATTTTTACGTTCAGCTATCCTGTTTTGTTGGGGTGTATAAGGGCAAGATGTTTGGTACAAAATACCATTGCATGACATAAAGGTTTGAAATTGTTGTGATAAATATTCACGTGCATTGTCACTTCTTAAGGTACGAATAGACAAACCAAATTGGGTTCTTATTTCTCAAAAAATTGTTCAAAAATGGAAAATAATCCAGACTTGTTCTTAATTA